AAAAAAAAAAAAAAAAAAGAGGCAAAGTAAAACATAGAACACAAGTATATTAGCAAAAAATATTCAAAATACAGCAATTACGCATCCTAACTAAAAAGTATTTACCAAATCAGTCCTATAGTTCCGACACACTTCTCTAAGTCCAAGTAGAATTCTGTGGGACTAGTATGTCCTACTTCTACTAACTACTAGCTCATAACAAGTCCGAAATGCTTTTGCATTTAATATACTATCTTTATCATTGCTCGAGTTGATTCCCAATTACAACTGGGAGATTACACCAGGGATCAGTTTGAGCCCGTACTTATTTACCCTAGTTATGGATGAAATATCCAACAGAATACAAGATGAGGTCCTATGGTGAATGCTATTTGCTGACGATATTGTGCTAATTGATGAAATCAATGAGGGTGTCAACAAAAACTCAAACTCTAGAGAAGCATTCCAGAGAGTAAGAATTTTAAAATTAGTAGAAATAAGACTAATAATTCAGTCAAAATAAAAAGTGAAGTTGAGATGAGATTAGATGGGATTGTGATGCGTAAATGCAAACAATACAGATATCTAGACTCGTTCCAGGAGAGAATGTTGCTTGAGATGGCTCCCAGGGTGTACATGCAAACAATACAGAAACAATAGAACGAGATTTATGGTGCTCCCAGGGTGTTATGTGAGAGAATGTTGCTTAAGATGGTTCGATCATATCCTACATCGACCTCTAGATGCATTGGTCGGTCCATAAGTGTGAAGCTATGGCGAGTGAAAGTGTTAAAAGGAGGAGAGGAAACCTAATCACATGTAAAGGAGCTACCTCAAAAGACCTACATTTTATTAGAATCCATCCAGACTTGGCAGAGAATAAGGCAACAGGGAAGGAAATGATCTATATAGGCAATACCAACTAGTTAAGAATGTGCTTTAATCACGTTAGTACATTTACTTTAGGTCATATGCTTGATGCTAGGAGTCATTTAATCATGTCAGAGATTTATATGCCAATAGAAGACATAGAGAACTTATTGTACTTTATATTTTAACTTTTCTTTTGTAAAATATTGGCCAGTTTAAACGAAGAAACATGGTCAGTGAATCTTCACAAAGCCGATCCCGATTTGTTTAGGATTTACGCTTAGTTGTTTTGTTGTATCCAAGGAGTTTTTATTAACATAAATGAATTGATTTATTAGGATGAGGAGGATTTCATCTAGTTTATAATGAAATACAATTGTTATTATACCAGTGGAAAAACTCAACCTAGATAAATAAAAACCAATTCATAACAACAACAATAGATGTACAACATTTGCACCAAATTACTGTCAGGAAAAAGAATATTGGTTGAAATACAGATGTAATATTATGTTTAGAAGAAGAAAAAAAGATTACTACTTCAAAATAACAAAAAAATATAAGTTGTAGATATATTCAGTAAAAAGGGTCAAAAAATGCAAGAGGAATACATGAATATATACAAGAATGATCAACCAAGATTGCTTATACTACACTGACCGCATCGTCAGTATTCTTGTATACTTAATTGCTTTACTATTATTATCTAACAAACAAGTATTGTAAATCAGAAACTAATATAAGTATGATCTAATAGCCAATAGTTAAACAACCATGGAAATTAAAAGAAAATATACTGCTAATAGTATTTACTTCTAAGGAAATTGTTAGGTTTAAGCCCTTATAAAGAAAAGGAAATCGTTAGATTTAAGCCCGGGCTTATTAGTTCCTAAAATTTTCAATCGGACATGAAACTTTACTGAAAGGGAAAATAGGAGGTATAAGTATTCTCATAAAAATGTAGGTGAAACAATGAGAATTTTCTTTATCCGTCTTAAAAAGAAGACTTTTTGTGAACAAAAGGATCCAATTTTTTCCTTCTTTTGCGCAAATTTATAACCGACATGTTAGCGTATGTAATGATAAATGTCCGTCCACATAAAGAAATTGAGCATTAACCTCTCTGAGTATAGAGAAGTGAACTTCATGTGTAGCCAAACCCAACATAATTAAATCTGCATCCTGTTGTGGCACCAAATAATAGAGTGTAAGATATCCAGTACAATATTCATGAAAATCAGGAAGAAGATTCCATCCAAAGATTTACAAGTCATCCAAAAGATAAGACGTACCAAACCATAAAGACAATGGCGTGTATTTGGATCATAACCAGAAAGATTCCTTTGGAGACGAATATAGGACATAATTTTATGCTCACCTTCACCAGGGACATTTGCATCAGAAAGTATAACCTTCGAAAAAATAGTTGAATAATAAGTACACAATATTCTTTAGTATCATACCGAGAGAAAAGAAAGTGACTGCACCAACCTACAAAACAAATCCAAATAATCTCAAATTGAAACAGCAAGAAATTTACAGGAACAATACCTTAACATTTTTCCATCCTGGATCATGGTTTAGTCTAAGGTGAATATAATATTGAAGAGCAATCGACAATGTGGCCATGAATTGAGTCCCAGGAGTAATTACATTTGAATCAAAAACTTGGGACGCTTGTTTAGGAGGAAGCTTCCTACCCTCCCTCTCAAATTCCTCACGCAACTTTTCCTCCTCAGCTGCCTAAAAGAAGGATTCCATGAGATAGAATTTGAGCAGAAATTCTTGCTCCATGATTAAAGAATGTTAAGGGCATGTACCGCATCTGCTGCATCTTTCGCTGATCTAAAACGTCTAGATCTTTGCTGGTTCATTTTGGCCCTTGGAGCAACACCATCTACCAAAATATATCCCGTCAGTAATTAGCGCAGAAATCTAACCACTTATAATACATAGCATCTGTTTTGTACAGGAAATTGCTCAATGGGGAAAGGAATGATTAGAAAAGAAAATCTGGGTCCCATATTCAAAAACTTACAGGAGGGACAAAGAAAAATAAAATAATTTGAATTTAAAAAGATTTTAGAAGTCGATAATTAAGTAGTGAGGAGGAAAGTAAAAGCAGTTTTAGTTCCCTCTTTATGATCTCCAATTTCTCTTATTACCTATATAGGAAATTTTGACAAGATGAACCCAAAGTTTTCTTCGAGTTCCCCAGGCAATAATAACCCACCCCTTTCTTAATACATCTGACCCATATTTCATTTCCTTTGAAAAATACAGAATTCGTAATATAATTGAAAGGCAGTTTGACCTTGTTACCCACCAATAGCCATATATAGCAGCTTTCGAGGACGCACCATAGAGAAAAGCCTGTCTATGTAATCAAACATGCAATGGAACACTTCATCAAATGTTGTTGGAGAAGGCTGCATCAGAAAGTATGGAAACTTATATAATAGAGAATAGAGAAGATAGCACAAATAACGAAAAAATCTTACAAATATATAACATGAAAGCAGTATCATCCAAACATGTATACAATAGAAACATAGGTCATCAATGAAAGAGCATAATGCTAAAATATGTTCCAACTATTTATCTTAACTTTCCTCTTCTCGTTATAGCAGAAACAACGTACATGCATAACTCCTTTATCAATTTCATTTATCTGCTTTTTCAAACATTATTTGTCCAAAGTTCTACTATCCTTTAAGGTAAAAGATCCACAAGGTTGCGTTTGCGACATCCTCTAGCTACATCAACTTTTTTATTTGACTATGAATGTGAGTGGAATTGACATTTAACACATAGGATAGGGAAATGGCAACGATGCACTGAGTATCTCAATTGCAAACACTTTCTTCCTAATTTGCTCCGACACGGCAGTTTATGTGTTGCACCCGTGTCGACACGATACTAGTATGGGCGTGGGTCAGGGAGGTATCTAAGGGGATGGAAGCGGGTTCACATGCACCCATGCTCTCCTCCCTGAACCATGTATAGTAATGTTATATTACTTCAAAATAATATAAATATGTGTGTGTGCACCCAAGCTCAAAAAGTCATATGGTGTAATGGTTAATGGGTGCACCAAGTGAGGTCAAGGATTTAATTTTCTCGTCCATCTTGCATTTTGATTAAGCATATTTTTCTTTGTTTTTCTTTCTTATTTTGGTTTATTTTTTAAAATTCCCAAGTCTATTGTAATTCCTGTTCTCCTTCTGTAATAACAAAATTTTATATAATCAAACGAAATGTCTTACATTAAAATTAGGAGCAATTGAGGATGCAGTATTGAGGCAATCAACGGATTCAACTAACAATTTTTGACATGGAGTACAGATATATTTTGGAAAAATCAGGAAAACGTCTATAAAAAGTTTAAACCTGTAATTTCAATAGTGTAATGGTTTCAATAAGCTAAATGTTGAACATCAAATTTAAATCCTAAATACGTCTATATATAATAGTGCACTCATCTTCTTAAAATCCTGGATCCGCCTCTGGTGTGGGTATGGGATCCATATCGGATCTGGTCAAACAATTTTGGGTACTTTGACCATGACAGACGAAAAAATTTGAGACAAGATACAATTTGATTCCCAAAAGCAGAACCAAAACTAGGGTAAATTTGAAGAAAATAGCATACCTTATCTAGAAAATTAATCATTTACTTATCTACACCTTGAGAATAAAAAAGAAATCCACACTTTATAGCTATACATAAGTATTCCACAAAATTTCTCATAATTTAGAGATATTTTTATATTTTATTTTTTTGAATTATATTTAGTTGATCCCCGTACTTGTATCCGTACTAGGATTCATATCCCCGAATCTTAGAATTTACATCTCGAAGGATCCGACCTCTAAATCCACACCCGTGTCGGACACCCGCACCCATGTCCGAGCAACTTAGCTTTCTTCCCAAACATCACGTTCAGGAAATATATAACCAATGCATAAGCACATTTCTTGCAAAAGCAAACCGATTCTTTTATATATAATCAAACTTCCCCTCACCCAAAATAAACATCTTGATTAAATCAAAGTATCCGGTCCAACAATAAGGGACTCTTATATAGCCATTTTTAACAAACCCGGACAGAAACAATAAAAGACTTGACACATTCATAGTGACTTGAAAGTTAATAATCAGCAGTGCAAGATTTTTTTCTGTCATTTAACCTTAAATATCTACACTACCCTGATTTTTCATAAAATTGTTCATGTTGTATAGAGCAATCGACAGTGATTACATGAAAATCATGTATCAAAGTAGCCACAAGCAGATGAAAATGCATGCACCACCTCCGATGTCTTCTTAAAACAGTACAAAGGCACCAGCAGTTATACCGCGTTGTTCGACTTAATAAGGAATATAAGATGTTAATTTGACTGTGCGCTGAATCATTGATAGTTGAAAACAAAAACAAAAAAATAAAGTATTGTTTGAAACTTGAAAAGTTAGTAACATCTATCAAAGTTAAAACTTTAATAGTTTAACCAATTTGAATTTTAGTAACTTGTGAAAGTTGTATAGAAATGACATGGAAAGAGTGTTTATATAAATTGGAATGATTTAACAGTATTAAACACGCCATGATGAAGCTCACATTTCAGCATACCCAAATTCATACTCAATTTATATGAGAACAACCAACAATTCAAAAACACAACACAAACACAGTCAAATTCTAACAAAAATATAATCAAAAAGGACTAGAGTACACTAAATTGAAAGCAAGAGGATTAAAGTGCGTACTCGATCTTCGGGGTGAAAACAAGGATGAATAATACCATTCATATCCAAATAAAGGTTATCATATTCGATGTTGTTTGGGTTAGGTTTACTCGTATCAACTGGAACTTTAATTCCTTCAATAACAGCTGCTTCTTCTTCTATGACGTCTACTATAACCATTGAATACTTCTCAGCTAACCATCGGTAAAATGCTGGTACTCCCATTGTAATTAACCTCTCAAACCCACTAATTAACGGACTTTTATTTAATTAAGAATGGTATAAGAGAAAGTTATTAGGAGAGAAAGGAAGTGATATGGGAATGACAATGGCGGGCTACGATTTTCAGATCGAGGAAAGAGGTTAGCCTGTTAGGGCACGGAAGAATTGTGAATGGACGATAATGACCTTTGTCTATATAGACGTCACCTGAGGGGTTTGTGAGTGGGTCCGTTTGGTTGACAGTTAAAAGAGCTCAACGAAAATATCTGTGCGAAAAACACGACAATTGAAAATCTAACAAAGATACGTACTGACTACTGAGCAGTCTGTCAAAGTTAAGCCACGCTCATTTACAAATTACGAGGTGTGATAAGAGACATTTTTTTACTTAGAGCGTGGTTATCCAAAATTTATCGAAAAGTGATGTTTTTTAACCTTATAGCCTTGAAACCAAATCCGTAACCAAAATAATGCAAAATTGGATTTTAGACACAAAAATTGGTGAAAAAACAGTTGATGACATTGTTATATATAGTGCATTTAAATATATAGAGCATTAAATATATGCGTTATGCTTATTATTTGCTGACCCATAATAATTGGTGAGTATAGTGCATGGCGCATATAATACATGCGCCATATACATACCAATTGTCATCCCCTCGCATTGAATATTTGTTTACTTAAGGTCCAACATTTGTTCTTCAAAAAATTATTCTGAAAAATTTATTCTTCAATATTATTTGTATCACTTCATATTCATCAATATTTTTTGAATTTTGCTACGATGTTTGAAGAGCGAAAAATTAAGGTTGCATTACATTAGGGTGGTGAGGTTGTGGTGGAGAATAACCCGGTACACTATAGTTGTTCTCCACAGAGCATTGTTAAGATGTCACTCACATTGGAGTACGACAGATTGGTATCTTTGATTTGTAAAAGACTGGGTGTGAGTAAAGGTTCGGTTAATATTAAGATAACCGGAAGATATCCTTATTCGCTTACTCCGCAAGGGGTTGCTTGTTATGCCGAGTTTAACATCGAAGACAATGAAACTCTGCATGATTTTTTGAGGCCTCCGAATGAACATTGGGATGTTCTTGTGTTAAAATCACTGGAAATGTATATCAAGTCTAAAGACGTCAACAATATTGATGTTCTGCAAAATATGGATAACACTCAACTATGTGGTGGTATTTTTGGATCAGTTTTATTCGAACATGTCATGTATGAAAGAGTCTGGCCAGATCTAAACTTATCTCCGCGGGCGAATGAGGAGTGAGGACATAATTTCTCCCCAATGCAGCAACATGGAGGGTCACCAAGTTTACATGATTCACACATCGATTGGTAAATTTTAATTTTCCTTGTTTTTAGTATAATTGTTTCTTTTATGTATCATATTCGTACTAACACTTATATCTTTCAAAGGGGTTACCGGTCATATATGAATTTTACAAGTTATGAACCAACCAATAATTAGAATATACCTAATTTTGGAGGTTTGGATTATGTTGGTCCATCTGTGAGTCATCAACAACTCGATAATGTGCATCATGGGCTATCTACAAATTATGAATTGTAAGTTAAGAGATAAAGTTAATATATTATGTTGAGATGACTCTGAGAAACTCATTATTTTATTGGTTGTGCAGTAAAAATGAGCAACATGACGGTTCTGTCATAACTCAGTTGCGCGATGACGATATATTGAATCAGTAAATGGCAGATGCACAAAGTGAGGAAGATGACAATGATTATGACAACAACGCTGATGAGTCTAGATATGATACACCCTTCCCTGATGAGAGCGGCGATGATGAAAAACACTTCGTAGATGAGAGTGAGAATGAACAACCCAATTTGACGAGGGAGCATGATGCCATAACTAAGCATGCTCCGTATATGCAGACTCCATCTACCGTTAGACCCACAGTATACGAGTCCCGTGTGCCTTTTTCATTCATGGGAGATTCCCTACCTTGACCACTTGCCAAGTATTCTGTATGTGGATGCCCTCACAAGCGATCTTGATGACATTCGTACAACAATTTAGGATGAATCTAGACCAACAGAGCTTTGTAAGAATATGTTTTTTGCTTACAAGTCACACCTCAGCAGGGCGGTACGAATTTACAGCATAAAAATGTCGTGAGATCGAGGTTGTTGAGTCATCTAAGCAAATATATAAGGTTGTTTGTCGTAGATGGGACCAAGGTTATAAGTAGATGTTGCGTGCGAGAAAGAGTATATAGACACATTCAATGGGAATCATTTTAACTTGAATGTTGATTTGATTTTCCTTGTCTTGATTCCACACATTGAATCGTCCATAAGGTACAAGGTGAAAGAGTGTATAACATCAGTTCCGCAGGTATATGGGTGTACCATTACCGAAAGAAAGGCATTTCTCGGGCGTAAACGCGCGTTTGAGATTGTTTATGGCAATTGGGATAAGTCATTAGCGGCTCTACTGAGGTACATGACTATTTTGCAACACTTTAAACTCAGGATAATTTTTGAATTGAAGCACGATCGGAGTCCTAACTTACCAGAATACATATTCATATATGTGCTCTAGGCATTTAAACTATCCATTGATGGTTTTGTTCATTGTCGGCCAGCAATCTCCATAGAGGGCACACATGTATATGGAAAGTATGATGTAAAGATGTTGATTGTCATTGCAATAGATGCTAATGGAAGAATATTTCCCCCCTGCATTTGTTATTTGTTCCAATGAAAGTCATGAGACTTGGACATGATTTTTAAACCACTTGAAGGAGCACGTTGCGAGACAGCGTTCAGGTATTTGTCTAATATCTTATCGGCACGGTGGGATTTTAAGCTCTGTGAATATTGTTGGATGCATGGAAGGAGTCGTACGCCTACCACCGTTAATGTGTTAGGCATTTGAAGGCCAATTTCCAGTAGGCTTCTCCGAATAAGAGCTTACATGATTTAACATGGATGGCTGCAACAGATCATCAAGAGTGTAAATTCAGGATGTGAATGGAATTGATTATGCAGGAAGACGAAGGAGCTTATCCTTGGTTGATGCAACATGAGCTTGATAAGTGGACTTTACATAAGGATGGTGACAAAAGATGGAGAATTTTGACTACAAATATGTTAGAGTCTTTCAACGGATTGTTGAAGTCTGCCCGTGGATTGCCTGTCACTGCCATGGTACGGATGTCATTCAAGAAGTTGGCGGAGAGGTTTGTTGAAAGATCTCGCAGTTCATTGTCCTTGTTGGAAAGGAGTGTTCAATTTATGCCACAACCGATGAAACGATTTGAGAAATATAGGAAGCGGGCACGGTGGCATACATATTTGCAATATTGCAACAATCGAAATATTTTTGAAGTTCGTACCGGTTTGCATCAAAACTGCGGTAATAATACCCACACCATCAATGAATCCAGGCGATTATGTTTATGTGGGAAATGATTGATTTATCACTTGCCATGCTCACATGCCATGAAGTGCTTTCAACATGCTGGGTTTGTAGCTATGAGGTATGTTGATAAAGAATATAGTGTGGTTGCATACGCAAACACCTATAGCGGCCACTTACAACCAGTGGGTTTTGAGCATTATTGGTCGCTGGAACCATTTAAAATGGTTTGTAACAAAAATTTCTTGTGTCGCAGGCAAGTGCAAAAAAAATGCAAATACTGAACCAAATGGATGTTAGTGATACCATATATATGCGTAAATGTGACATATGTTCCCAAACAAGACTCGATCGCCGTAAATGTCCTACATTCGGTTTGAGAAATAGTGGCAATTCAGCTCCTAGTGGCAGTTCATCCAATATTGGTAATTTTCAAGTATAAAATTAGTTTTTGTAACAATATATTTAGCAGGAATTGGTGTTTGTAACGGTGTGTGTTTGCAATATTAATGAAATAAAATTATATTTCCAATAGTGTTAACTTGACACTTGGTATTGAAGATTCAGTAGAATACTTTAAAAAGCTTGAAGAAAAAAATAATGATTTTCTTCGTCATTATCGTCACTGGTGGGCATTAATTCATCGTTACTTTCGTTGGTCTCTTTATTGTCATTTTATTCATCTTCTTCTTCACTGTCTTGTTCGCATCCTTCCAGACCGAGGTCATCATAATCTAGGCCCCAATTGACACACATTTATCGTATTTCATCGATATCATCAACAAGACCACTTGCTTGATTTCTATATATGGCACTCTTATGTCCAACGTTTGCGGTAGAAATTTTGTTAGTCCCTCCCACTCCACAACTGTTGGGAATATAGGATAATCAAGATCTTTATGAAATTTTTCATTCTCTAATAAAGCTCAATCATGATCATCTGTTCCTTGGATATAGTTAAGTTCATATAGTGCATGAAGAACGGCCAGTGCCTTTTCCATCTCTAAAATCTCCTTCATCAAATGCCGAATAACTTCTTGTTCATATTTGTGTGTGTTAGTTTGGAATGTTGTAGACAATGCTTGTGGTACAACTAGCCCATGCAAATGATATAATACTTCATAATCACACCTTTTTGAGTATAGAGGAACCCATTGTAGGTTTCCACCCCAAATTCGCATACCTTCAGGCTTTATAGAATGCGTTTCCCCCTCAATAATGTTCCATACAATTTTGAGATCTATATGTATATTGATGGGCTTATTTTCCAAAAGGACGTAAAACACCATACCACATGTCATCCACCAAATCAGTATAGCAACCTAGCAAATTGTTTTCAAGGAAGGGATCGATTGTGTTCTGACGTGTTTCATGTGGATCTTTTGAACTACCTTCACCCTTTTGCCTCTTCTTAAACCATTTATTAAATGTAAGTGGCATTTTTGAAACAGTTATTTAAATGAATAACTGAAAATTTGGTTCAACTTAAGAAGAACCAAATAGGAGTTAGTTCAACATGACGCATGTGCAATATGCATTATCTTGTCTTGTCGACCTGTAAAGGCATGTACGTTCTAGTACCGTAAAGATTCCACTCAACTATGGCTCATGAACAATATGCATTATGCAGTAGCTTAGTAAACAATACAAAATTAATGTGTGTCTTGTCGACCTGAAAAAACATGCATGCACTTGTACCGTAAAAAATCCATTGTAAGTGAAACATAGCGCATGAACAATTTACGTTATACACCAGTTCAGAAAA